TGAGGTTTCTCCAAGTTCATTGTCATGACCTTTATGAAAAATATTAGTATTCCTGGGATTTTTTTTCTTTATGCAAGAAACACTAGTCTAATGAAAGAATGAAAATGACTCAGGCTGCTACAAAGGCAGGCGTTCACTGTGTCCATTAAAAATGCAGCCTTTGTGCCCGTAAAGTGCTCAGCTTCTCTGTTATTAAGTTTGGAATGTGGTTTTGGAGTTTAGCTGAGGAACTCAGCTAGTTATTTTTCATTTTGGTCCAACGGGGGAAAGGCTTGTTTTTCAAAAGGAAAAAAAATGAAAAAAGGTTAGGTTCATTTTGGAAGAATAGAAGTTTTAAAATGTAGTCACTATTTTTTGCCACAAATAGTCAGTTTGAGCATGTTAGCCAAAAATAGAATTCATGACTTTTGTCTCCCTGTTTATTTCTCCAACCACATTAAAAAGGGTTCAGTTAAATATGCCATTTGGTCTTTTTAATGTCAGTGGGCTATTTAGCTGAGTCAGGATAACCAAAATTTGATTGATTCATATTTCTAATAATAGGCCAGATGTCTGATTGCAGATGAATTAGGTGTAAAATGTCTTTGTGATACAGTTTTGAGTTTTTTTAAAAAACTGCCCTGGCATGGATGAATGGTGACTCCAGGCCGCAGTGTTCAGGATTCTACACTGAAGGACTTTCAGCTAGAGTTTATAGTGCTGGGTTTTCGGCTACCTTTCATTAGGCATTGTCACACTTTCTGCAAACATGTTACTACTCAAAATTTAGGATAGATATTTAGGTGTAGAATAATGTGTATCTGATCATTAGAGGTAGAGAACATATTAATTATACAAACTTTTGCCTCCTATGTGACTTTGCTCTTGCTTTACATATTTCTCCATTAAATAAGAGATGATTTCTGCTGGTAACAGGTCTGAGAAGAACAGTATACTGAATATATTTACAGAATTAAACATATGTAAACCATGCATGTTAAACATAATTTATATAATGTTTTTCATTCACTACTAACTTTAGGAGAACATTTTTATAAATTGATTTAAAAAAAGATACTATACTGGCAAAATCCACATGAAGAAAGCTATGAAAGAGATGTCAAAATGAAGTCCAGTTAATGGAGAAGTGATCATTGTTCTTGCATGGGAACACTAAATGTTGGAAAAGAATACTTATTCTCTCCACTTTCATTTATAAAGTTAAGGTAATTTCAATGAAAATCCCAGCAATAGGACATACATTTGAAATGGATTGGGGAGAGGGGATTTACTCTGTCAGATATTGATACACACCATCAACATACAGAATTCAAAACAGTGTTGTGTTGGGCCATGACTTGACAGTCCAATACATGAAACAGAACAGATTATCCAGAAACATCTATTGTTATACGTAAGATAAAGTGATGTCATAAGTCAATGAAAGTCTATTCAGTAAAGAACAATGTCAATATTAAAAATAATAAAAAATCTAGAACCTCACCTCATCTCTTATATCAAAACAAATTCCAGAAGGTTCAATTATTTAAACATTAAAAATATAAAATTGTTAAAAATAACTAGAAGTTGCTGAAACCGGTTTGGCTCAGTGGATAGAGCGTCGGCCTGGGGACTAAAGGGTCCCGGGTTCGATTCCGGTCAAGGGCATGTACCTGGGTTGCGGGCACATCCCCAGTGGGATATGTGCAGGAGGCAGCTGATCGATGTTTCTCTCTCATCGATGTTTCTAACTCTCTATCTTTCTCCCTTCCTCTCTGTGAAGAATCAATAAAATATATTTAAAAAAAAAATAATAACTAGAAGTTAATAAAGGAGACTGTTTTTTGAATTTGGAGGTAAAGAAAGTTTCTCTAAGGAAAAAAGCATAGAAAAAAAAACAAATGAAAAGAGAGATTCTATATATAATTTGGATCATCTCTATATTAAAATGTAGACAGCAGATGCAAATGGTAAGATAAATTAGAAACAAAAAATATCAGGCAAAGAATTATTCTTATAGACAACCTTTCCAAACTAAGGGGTGTGTAGGTAAGTTCAATTTGGTATATCATATAATTATTTTGTAACTGCAAGTTAAAAATGTTTAATTATGGAGAAATTATTTATAACATAATAAGTAATATTAGTTTTATACTTTTTATGTTCTCAAACACTGTTCTTAGTACTTTCCATGCTAACTTGTTTCTTGTACACAATGACTCAGAGAGGTAGGTACTATTATTATTGCCATTAAAGAGATGATAAAACTAATAATACACAGACCGGTTTAGTAATATCACCCAAAACTTCCCTAGTGTGGCTTAGCAGTGACACAATGAGAATGAGAGAGCCAGGATTTGACATCAGGCAAGTTGGCTCCAGAGCTGGTATTATTTACCACTGTGCTGCTCTGCTTCTCTAAGTGAGTGAGAAGGAAAAGCTACAAAACTATGTATGGCATGATCCCGGTTTGTAAAATTTTTGTTGTTAGTATTAGTATGTATTTTAAGGTCATACAATTTAATTCATGTATACATTTTTATATAATTACTAGAGGCCCAGTGCACAAAAATTTGTGCACTGGGGCGGGGGGGGGGGGAGGGGGCAGGGAAGGTCCCTCAGCCCGGCCTGTGCCCTCTCACAGTCTTGGACACCTCGCGAGATAACTATCTGCTGTCTGAGGCCTGCTCCCCAGGGGATTGGGCCTAAGATGGCAATCAGACATCTCTCTGGCAGTCCGGCAGCCCTCGGGGGATGTCCACTTGCCAGCGTGGAGCAGACCTAAGCTGCAGTTGGACATCCTTAGCACTGCTGAGGAGGCAGGAGAGGCTCCCACCACCACTGCTGTATTGGCAGCCATCAGCCTGGCTTGTGGCTGAGCAGAGCTCCCCCTGGGGGAGCGCACTGACCACCAGAGGGCAGCTCCTGCATTGAGCGTCTGCCCCCTGTTGGTCAGTGTGCGTCATAGTGACCAGTCATTCCCAGTCTTTTTGCTGGTAGGGTCAGTTTGCATATTACCCTTTTACTATATAGGATAGAGGCCTGGTGCACGGGTGGGGACCAGCTGGTTTGCCCTGAATGGTGTCCCGGATCAGGGTGGGGGTCCTGCTTGGGTGCCTGGCCAGCCTGGGTGAGGAGCTGATGGCTATTTTCAGGCTGCCTGCACCCCCTTCAGGGTGGGGGGTCCCCACTGGGATGCCTGGTCAGCTTGGGTGAGGGGCTGAGGACTGTTTTCAGGCGGGCCAAGCCTGCAACTGAAGCTCTCAGTCTCTCCTTTTTTCCTGTTTTTTGTTTTGTTTTGTTTTTATTCTGGGATTTATTTACCTTCTGTACTTGAAACTTTGTTGTGGCTCCAGCTCCAAGGCAGGCTGGCTGAAAGAAGGTATCTGGGGTTTGTTTGGCTTCTATAATTGAAACACTGTTGCGGTCCTGCTCGCTCCAGCTCTGATGGCTGAAAGCAGGTATCTGGGGTTTGTTTAGCTTCTATAATTGCAACATTATTGCTTAGAGTGCAGCTCAGAGTCATGTTGCGGCAGGCGGGGAACCTTGGCTTCCTCCATCGCCAGGGCAACCAAGCCTCCTGTTCCCTTCAGCTGCCTGGCTGCCGGCCGCCATCTTGGTTGGCAATTAATTTGCATATCACCCTGATTAGTCAATGGGAAGCGTAGCGGAGGTATGGTTAATTACCATGTTTGTCTATTATTACATAGGATACACTCATAGAAAAGAAAGATAGTATTTTGATATTTTCTAATAATGGTTACTTCCCTCTAGCAGTGGTTCTCAACCTGTGGGTCACGACCATCAGAAAACACATATAGCATATCAGATATTTACATTAAAATTCATAACAGTAGCAAAATTACAGTTATGAAGTAGCAACAAACATAATTTTATGGATGGGGGTCACCACAACATGAGGAACTGTATTAAAGGGTCGTGGCATTAGGAAGGTTAAGAACCACTGCTAGTGGGATTTTGGGTAAATGTTGTTTCAAACTTGAAAATTTCTATATTTTGAAAATTTCTACTGTAATCATGTAATCATTTTGTAATCACAAAATAGTGTTTTTTTCAATGTTATATTGTTCAAATCTGATGTTCTCTCTTAAAATGCGTGGATTATATTTTGTACACTTTTGAAGTATCAATGTTTGAGTTCTCATCCTTTGAAAGGTACCACTCTATAAGTGGGGACCTGAGGTTAACTTAGTTCTTTCTCTCAATCAAAAGCAATTTTGGTCCTAGCTGGTTTGGCTCAGTGGATAGTGCCTTGGCCTCCAGACTGAAGGGTTTCAGGTTCGATTCCTGTCAAGGGCACATGCTTCGGTTGTGGGCTCAATCCCCAGTAGGGAGTGTGCAGGAGGCTGCAGATCAATGATTCTCTCTCATCATTGATGTTTCTATATCTCTCTCCCTTTCCCTTCCTCTCTGAAATCAATAAAAATATATATTTTTAGAAAAGCAATTTTGTAAAACTTTAGAGTTAAGAATCTTAGAAACCAGCTATCTTGGTTGAATCTTAGAAACCAACCATCTTGTTTCTCAGATGAGGGTCCTGAAGCCACTATAGATTTAACCAACTTCCCCAAGATGAACTGAGAGGAAGTTGTTTAAGCAGGTTTCAGACCCTGGTCTTCTGACTTGAGACACTCATCTATGAAGCACCAGAGCCCTGAGGTTCACAGGCAGGTGGGAACCGAAGCACTGTGCCTTTTTGTGACATTCATTTTAGAGTGAGGAGGTAACTGAACCAAACAGATTACAAATATATTCTTTCAATAAATACCAGTGATTGAAAACACACTGGGTAGGCTCTTGGGGATACTTTAAGACACCTACAGAGGTCAATGAAGGATTCTCACCAAGATTTGGGAGATCCATAGGTATTACTGATCCCAAATTATAGAAGGCAGTACAAAAAAGAAAATGGAGAGAAGAAGGTAGTAAAAAGAATGTTAGCCAGAAATGAGCACCTGAGTGGATCATTTTTCTAAAATAAGAAAACATTTTCTTTTCAGCTCCAGGACCCACCACGGCAGTGTCCTACATGTCAGTGAAATGTGTGGATGTTCGTAAAAACCATCACAAGACAAAATGGTTCGTGCCTTGGGGACCCAACCACTGCCACAAAATCCGAGACATCGATGAAGCGATTCCAAAGGAAATAGGAGCCAATGACATTGTGTTTTCTGTCCACATTCCTCTCCCCTCCATGGAGATGAGTCCTTGGTTCCAGTTCATGCTGTTTATCCTGCAGCTGGACATTGCATTCAAGCTGAACAACCAAATCAGTAAGTGCACTCTCCTTTTTTCTCTCTGACCTTGGGGAATTTCTCTCTTCAGGTTCTTTCAGAGCTAGTCCTAATCACAGTAAGATGATAATATTAATAGCAGACAATTATCAATCCACTAGTTTCTACAGGAAGGTCTTTTATTTCGTCTTACAGTTAAAAAACGTGGGCACCAGTGAGGTTGCCTAAGGTTTCAGAAGGCTGGAGAGTGGATTCAAATTCAGGCAGCCTGGCTTTCCAGCCATGCCCTACCCACCAAGCTTTGTTAACTCTCCAGGCGGTGGGAAGTGTTCCCTCTTCCCTTGGCTGGTCTAATGATTAAATTGACATAAGACATATTAACAGGAGAAAAAAAATAATTTCATATGTATGGGAGCCCTAAAGATATGAGACACAAGGGCAAGTTGGAAAATCAAAGCTTAATATGCCATCCTGAGCTGAGGAATGAGAGAAGCCTAGAGCTCCAAAGGGCAAAAAAATAGGGTAATTCACGGGATGATGAGAAAGCAGATGTTTGGTAATTAGAAGTTTGCCCTGCCATGCAGGTAAGTCTTTCAGATAAAAAGTTATCTCTGATTAAGCTCTTTTTCTGTGCTAGACCCACTCATTATCTAAGTTATTTTAGGCAGTGAAGAGTGGTAAAATTTTTTCTTGAGTCTGCTAGGTCTCAATGGCTTCAGCCCAAAATAATCCACATGCCAAATGGCCCATTCACCCCTTCACCTCTGTGGTGCCACGAGGAAGCTCACCCCACTGCAGTGACTAGAGGATTTCTGAAAGGTCCCATGTTTCAAATGTTTTTCCTCGCCACTGGGCTTTGAGTAAAGCCATTGCCTTAGAAAAAAGTATCTATCAAAATGGGAACATCAATCCTTGAGCACCCATTTCCCACACAACTGGGTTATATTTTTGAGCTTACTCAGTTGTGATTCAAGACTCTGAGGACATGGGGCATATACACATTTTGGGAGGAAGAGATCATTGGGTGATTTCTGGGAAGGAGAGCCACGTGTGGCATCTGGGGATAGCGTAGGGAATCCTAAGTTGAAAAGGAAGAAAGCATTTTTTACTGACACGGGATCAGGGGTGAGAGGGAAAAAGAATGTTGAAGATAATTCTGCCTGGGTCCTTCCAATGAATTAAAGCACTTTTTCTAATTGTAATTTTCCTGTATTAAGCAATGATCTTAATATACAATCATATTAATTTTCTCTGTTTAGAAGTTGAAATAGTGTATCTACCTGATTGACACCTTATCAAAGAAGTTATGCTGAGATACTTTTCCATAATGTAGACTTTCCCCTTCCCATTCATTTACTCTTTTACCCATTACTTCTAAATGTTTTTGAGTGCTCACTACTGTGAGGCAGTGTACTGATGGCTGGACATGCAGATACAGATGACGACTATCCTTCGAGTGTAAATGAGTAGGAAATAACCAATCATTACAGTATGGTGTAATAGATACTCTGGTTTCTCTTCAGATCGTATAAATCTTTCACCTTTTATAGTATGGTGTGATAGGTGCTGTGACTAAGGTATGCCCAGAAGGCTGAGGAGCATCAAGAAAAGGTTTTAGAGCAAAAAAAGGGAAAGCTATCTTGGGGTGTGTGTGTTCGTGTGTGCAGATATTTGAGGTGAGTGTTAAAGAGTGAAAACCCTGACAAGGAGTTGGGGGTGAGGATGGGGACAAATAATAGAGCATTATAATTAGAAGGAAAAAGGAACAGTTGATATGAAGGTCTAGATTTGAACAACAGCTGTAAGCTTTCAAGTGTTAGTTCCCTTGTCCTATTCTCTTGTATATAGACTTATTCATTGGTTTTATAACAAATTTATTTGTCCATGCATTCAAACTTTAAGTCCCATGCCTGTGTTAAGCATTGATACTGAGGATACAAGACTGAACAGAAAATGTTCTTATAAGGGATTAGGGAAGATGGTGGTTGGGAAACAGATACTTAAACCTACCAAAGAGAAATACATATGCTATAATGAGAGGGATAGGCAATATTTTGATATTGTGATTTATAAGAAATAGTTATTAGGTCATTCAGATGACCCAAAAATATTTCTCATATACATTTGGCCTTTGTCCACAGTTCCTGGCTCACAGTCCCCCGCCCCAAACTTTTGGAATTTTGAGCAATAAAGGCATCGGGGAGCATCTATTGTTGTATTTGGGCTCTTGTTCTTGGATTTTAAAAATGCTTCAGAGTCATAAAGGTGAAATGTGTGTCTTGTGATTCATAACAAGCCTCTTTCCACCACCACCACTGGGCTTATGTTAATGAGGTGACTTTTAGAAAACACCTAAGGACAGGGGCAGGTTGCCAAGGAAACCAACCATTAATAGAGGAGTGAAACTTTCACTCACACACAAACACACACACTATTTCTAGGGAGGAAAGAGAGGTTGAAGGTAGAATCAATCTCCAATGGCCAGTGGTTTCATCAGCTGTGGCTATGTAAGGGAGCCTCTACAATCCAAAAGGAGGGGCTTTGGAGAGCTTCCAGGTTGGGGAACTGGAACACTTCCATGTGCAGAACCCCAAGTTCCACAAGGATAGAAGCTCCTTTGTTTGGGATCTTGCCCATTGTTTCTTTTAATCTGGCTATTGAGTCATGTCTTTTGTAATAAATCTGTAATCTAGTGAGCTCTGTGAGCTGTTCTAGCACATTAATTGAACACAATGAGGTGGTCGTGGGAACCTCTGATTTACAGCCAGTCCGTCAGAAGCCACAGGCGACAATCTGGGCTTATGATTGGCATCTGTAGTGGAGGGTAGTTCTTGTGGGACTAAGCCCTTAATCTGTGGAATCTGCTGCTATCTCTAGGTACTGTCAGAATTGAGTTGAGTGGTAGGATACCTTACTGGTATTCGAGAATTATTCAAGTGTGGAGAACCGCCCCCACACACCCGCATACCCTCTCCACACACACATCCTAATTGGTGGTCAGAACCTATTACTTACATACCTTAATAACTTTACAGATAAATTAGTTCCCAGCAAATATTAATCCTAAACATCAAAAATGCCTATGTTGTAATGCTTTGATAAAATATCCTATATAATAAAAGGGTAATATGCAAACTGACCCTATCAGCACAATGACTGGGAATGACTGGTCACTATGACGCACACTGACCAACAGGGGGCAGACGCTCAATCCAGGAGCTGCCCTCTGGTGGTCAGTGCATTCCCACATGGGGGAGTTCTGCTCAGCCACAAACCAAGCTAATGGCTGCCAGTACAGCAGTGGTGGTGGGAGCCTCTCCTGCCTCCTCAGCAGCGCTAAGGAGGTCTGACTGCAGCTTAGGCCTGGTCCCCGCTGGCAAATGGACATCCCCTGAGGGCTCCCGGACTGCCAGAGGGATGTCTGACTGCCAGCTTAGGCCTGATCCCCCCGGGGAGCTGGCCTAAGCCAGCAGGTGGACATCCCCCGAGGGGTCCCAGACTGTGAGAGGGCACAGGCCGGGCTGAGGGACCCTCCCTCTCCTCCCCCCGCATGCACAAATTTTTGTGCACCGGGCCTCTAGTTTCTATATATTAAATGAAGTATGAATGTATGTATTCAGGTTCCAAAGTATATTTTATCCTCATGTAGAAAAAGATCTTAGTAAAGGTTCTTATTTTTTAAAAAAATCCTTAAATTTCTTGTAACTTAAGGTCCTGCACTATTTTAATAAAGGCACACTGAAAAATTGACAAGATGGATAACTAAAGGTTCTGTCAGTAGATATATAAAATAGCTGAAATCATAGAACCTCAAGAAAACCAGATTTAAAAAAATACTTTTTTTTTTTTTTTTTTTAAGCTGGAGCAGTGGGTAGGGGCTATTAACTTTAATATGAGAGGGTTACATGTTGGGTTTGTGGGAATATTTTTTCCCTTAAATTTATTCTCTATATTTTTGTTTATGGACAATGAGGACACAGATTTAAGAGTGATGGTATGTCTTTGCTCACTGATATAGATATATACATACATGTATTTTAATTATAATATTTGTAAGACATGATCAATTTTGCTCTGACTCTTATATTAGAAATACATGAGACTGCATGTCCACTTTTTATATTTTATCATTGTTTGGATGTGTTTCTGACAGCAATAAATGGGGCAGGAGAAAAGAGACTGGGAGCATGGTGAACAAGATCCCATTATATGTAGATGACTTCCTGTTTATCAAAGATTCAGCTGTAACAATATTACCTCCAATGTAAGAAAAAGTCAGGGCCAATCCTATTTTTTCTTTAAGCTTTCCTAGGCAGTCTATAAAATGAATTTCAAATTCCAAATTAAAAAGAGATTTCTCATTTGGACTATGAAATTAAAGCTGGGATTTCATATATATATATATATATATTCATATATATATATATATATATATTCATATATATATTCAGAGTGTTCACCTATATTTAAGGGTCTTTGAATAGATGCAATAATCTGAGGGCTCTATATTTTAAATGAATTTTAGTTATTTGGGTTAAATGTTTATTTCCTTTAAGCTTTTTAATTTAAGGATTTTGGCTAGGATTTGAGATCTTGATAAACCCTTAGAAACTAGAAAAATATTGACTTACTATTTAAAAGCTAGTCATTGTTTAATCAATTTTAAGATATTATCAGGCTTGTCCTTTAGAGGGAAAATGGTGACATTAAAGGATAGTTCATAGTGATAAAAGTGGTTAAGAGAATATGTATATTATATTTAATTATTGAGAAAGAAGATATCCCATGTATATTATGCAAAAAAGTAACCCACATTTGAAAAAGTAATTTTAAACAGAAACCCTACTTTTCACCTTTTAAGTATAAACATTTTTAATACCTACAATTGTCATTTGATGATAAGTATGAATAGTATTAGCCAGTTCAACTTTTAAATGGTGATAATTGTAAAATAATAGTCTACAAGATCCAGGGAAGAAAGTCCAATTGAAGAAAATCCAGACTTAGAGATACCTAGACATGGGGGTAAGTGACCTTTC